TTGATTTTTTCTACAAAATCGCATAATTTCTCGCTTTTGAATAGTTTCATACAAATAATGTTTAAAATTGCATATAATTATATTATATAATATATTATATATATATATATATATATATATATATATATATATATATATATATGTGTGTATAGTTTTATTCTCTTGCTCTTGTTTTTAAAAGTAATCACAATTCACACGAAAAACATTCATTGTCATTGTGGCAACCACAATAACCCCACTTTACAAAGAAAACAAACAGTAGAATATGTGTCTTGCAAACCTGCATTTCAGAATCTTACATTCAAAATATAAACAAACGTTTTCCTATTTCAATCAAATCACCGAAATAGGTCAGTTATCGTTAGTATTCTGAAGAGTTCAGATAGAATTAATAGGTATAATAAATGTTTCCATAATGCCACAAAACGCATTGACTCATGAAGATAATCGTAAAAGATTGTGCGTATTCTGTTTAAAAGTCATTAAAATTCGTGATTTAAATAAAAGGAGTAAAATAAGAAATATAATTTCGAACGGAGAAATTGAAAAACTTGTAAAAAAGTACTTATGTGATTATGATTCCTCTCGTGAAGAGTTACCTACAGGCATTTGTTGTGTGTGCTTAAATAAACTTTATGACTCTGAAAAAGACAAAAATCGTCAAGGAATAACAGTGCCAGATTTAAAACAATTCATGCCAATGAGTACAAACACACGGTCATTCGACTCTAGTAAATGTATGTGTGCAGTTTGCAAAATCACTCGGGAAAATAAAGTTTTGAATAATCCAAAATCCATTAAAGGTATATAAACTAATTGTTTAAAATATCGTTTAAATCCATGATTCTTTAAAAATAATTTTTAAATTCAGTAAATTATTGCATAAGACATTTTTCATGATTATAGAAGTATTAATTGTTGAAATTTCATTTCTTAATTTTTTTATTCTATATGGTTTAATAGGATTTTCATCTGCACCGACGTTCAAAAACAAATCTGATAAGCGATGCTCTGATTGCTTATCAATTATTGCCAAAGGTCTTTCACATAACTGTTGTTCCAGCCAACGAGTGGTCAATTTGCAAACTATTATTCAAGAATCTAATCCTAAAACCAAAGAGCACATCGTTTCTTCTCTGATCAAGGTACAAAAATCAAAAAGCAATGATTTGACATCTGACGAAAATCATAATGCAATTAAGCTTTCCAATTTGAAAGGTAAACCTACTAATGTAACTATTAATCAAACTCGAAACAAAGAAATATGTCTTAGTGTTAACGATATGAAAAACATTCAGACTAATTTCAATTTGAGTCAAAACACAACACTCGGTATTGCGAGCGCTATTCGTAAAGGTACGGGCAGTAGAATTGTAGTGGAAAAAAATTTAAAAAGAAAACTGTATGATAATATTCATTCCCTTGATGATTTTTTTGAAATTAAATATTTTGATTTTCAAAAGGGCACAAAAAAAGACATGTCGGTAAGTCGTCAAGGAGCAATATGTTGCAACGATGTTGGTGGTTTAATTGAGTTCGCACAAAAAAAACGTGGGTTGTCAATGGTTAATTGTAAATTTGGGATAGACGGAGGTGGGGGCTTTCTAAAACTTTGTGTATCCATTCAGTCTCCTCATCAACTGAATTCTCTTGAAAATGTGTCACGTAGACATACTTTGCCACAAGGTACATTTTCAAAGAGATTTTGTGACAGTGGAGTAAAAAAGCTTTTCATTGTTGGAGTCTCACCTTATTGCAAGGAAACACATAATAACTTACAAATGTTATGTAATGGTATCAATCTAACTGATTTATATGGTATTTTCGCCATCGATTTAAAAGTCGCAAATTTATTATGTGGAATAGGTGCTCATAGCAGCACGTATCCTTGCACATGGTGTTTTACGCATAAAGATCATCTGAATAATCGAGATGTTCTTCGAACAATTGAAAATATTACCGAAAATTATAATAAATGGAAAGAATCAGGTGGCAACGATAAAACGGCCAAAGATTTCAAGAGTTGCATAAATTTGCCAATAATAAAAAGTTGTAATACAGAATCGAATACATTGATAATAGATATCATTGCTCCTCCTGAGCTACACTTAATGCTTGGGGTAGTAAATACTATTTTTAACGATATGCTAAAAAAATTTGAAAAATGTGCATTGACTTGGGCTGCGAAGTGTTATGTTCAGCGGGAAATTTTTCGGGGGTGCTCTGGATTTGATGGTAATAGTTGCAAGAAATTGTTACAAAATACCGATATATTAAGAGAGTTATGTCCTTTGGAAAGTTTAAAGTATGTAAAAGCTTTCGACGATTTTCATGCAGTGGTTAAAGCTTGTTTCACTACTGAATTAAAAAATAATTACATCGATTGCATTTCCAACTTCCGAAACAGTTACAAAGACCTATCGATTTCTGTCACTCCGAAAGTCCACGCTGTCTTTTTTCATATCGAAGATTTTTGTTCAAGGCAAGAAGTGGGTTTAGGTTACTACTCAGAACAAGCAATGGAAGCTGTACATTATGATTTTAAAAAAACTTGGGACAATAAATATAAAATTAAACCAAATCACCCAAACTATATGAAGCAATTGCAAAAGACTGTTTGCGAGTATAACAGTCTTCACATTTAAAAAATGTTAACAAGTCATTAGGTATATATTTTATAATATGATAAATAAATTAATAAACGTTTTTCAAAAAAATTTGTAATTTAATTCTGATAAGTATTTGTATGAAACTATTCAAAAGCGAGAAATTATGCGATTTTGTAGAAAAAATCAATTTTCTCAAAAAGGGACCGATGGATGATTTTCATTTTTGTTGCAAACATCTTCTTTTTTGTTGCAGAAAACATCCCAAAAGAAAAATCTTGGTTATTTTGACTTTTCATAATAATCGCTTAAAACCCACCGTGAAGTAAATATAATCTTATTTTCATTTCAATTTTAAGTGTTTTATGGAAGTTGAACAATTAAATAATAATATATAACAAAAAATTTGAGGTTAGCTGTCAGATCAGGTGTAGGCCCAATCTGTGTTACATATACATATACATACAAAGACCAGTCTTACCAACCTTACATAAACTACGCGACGAGAATGCGACGTTGCCCTGATTTCAAGCACTTTTTAAAAAATTTAATTAAATATAATTTATAATATTTTAGTAACGAGGAAAGCTTATTATTAATTTATACACCTTTTTCTAAACAATTCTCCTATCAATAAGGACAAGAACCTTACTTATCAAATAAAAATTCATTTTTTCTAAGGTTGCAAACTTGTGAGCCTTCACACGGGAAGAATAGAAACTATCCCCTTACTCCGCACCACCCCCTGGAAAATCCTTAAGTTAAAATAATAGAAAAAATTTTTCTTATCGTTTTTTGTGAATTTTTGAAAAATTTTATTTCGATAACGATTTCCGTGGGTCTGTCTGTCTTGACGTAGAATGTATTAATAAAAATTATTAAATAATAAATTTATTATTATGATTATTATTATATAATTTATTATACATTATATGGAAATATAAATATTATGTTATTTTTATTATTATTATTATTATTATTATTATTATTATTATTATTATTATTTTAATGAATTATTATTATTATTGTATTATTCTATGATAGAATGTATAACAAACCAAAGTCCTATAAAAGCATTCTCAAAAATGTTTCTTAAAAATTTGTGTACTTTAATATAGCGACTTTTGTGAGATTTTCCTCGTACCCATATGTATAGTACGAAAGTTATAAATTTTAAAAAGAAATGCCAACAACTTACTTTCACATAGGATTTATATCATTTACTTTAAGAAACGAGGCACATACATATATATTTTGTTTTGATAGTTGAATTTCACATGATTTATCTTTTACATGGAGAGAATGGAGTGTTATATGCAGTACTACTAGTAGTTTGAACAAGACAACCGTTGAATCGCAGTAGAATAAGTTGAGTATAGTCAGACTAGAGAATAAAGTACGGAAATGATACTCCATTGTCATTTCATCTGTCGCCCAGTGTATATTGTGAAAACTTGTTTTGTTTGATCCCAGAACGCAAAAATAATGATTTCCAACGTTGAAAAATAACAAAATACATATCACAAAAATGAAAATTTATTAAAGCAATTTTCACACACTAAATTTATATATATATGTATACACATATATATATAATTCTACACGCACATGAAGGATATAGACTCTTTTCATATGTATACCGAGAAACCAATTTATTTTTCAGTGATATCAAAAAATTAATAATAATGAAAGAATAAAAAACATTTTTTTTTAAATAAATAGAAATTTTAATTAACAAATTGCCTCAAAGTGTACACTGAAAAAAAAAAATTTATTTGATTCAAATACTCGATTACTTGACTATTATCAAATAAATATTTATTTGTATCAAATTATTATTATTTGAATCAATTAAATGGTATTTATTTCAAATACAAAAATTGTTGGTTAAAATAAAATTTATTTAATTCAAATAAAAATTATTTGGTTCAAATAAATATTTGTTTGATAAGTAATCGAGTATTTGAATCAAATAAATTTTTTTTTCAATGTAAGTTTTATTTTTATAAATTTTTTAATTTTTAATGTCAAAGAATTTTTTAAAAATATGTTCATGATGTAAAAGTAGAAGAAAAAGAGAAAATAGAATAAACATCCTAAGAATATATATAATGGTTATAAAAAATTTTTCATGATAAATTGAAATATTTAAAATTTTGTGCAAGTTTTGTTCTATAACATGTTTCTTTGTAGGTTATATGGAAAAAAATTCTTTTTCCTTCTCTTCAATATAATCATATTTTTTTTTTCGTATTCATCAAAAGATGAAAATAATAAAATATGACAAAAAATTGTCCTCTTTTATATATATGTAAGGAAAATGAAAAAAAAAAAAAAGAAAATTTTTTTCGACCTTTTTTTATTTATGGTCTATTTTCTGTTTTTATGAATTAGGTGAGCTCATGGGTGACCCACGCAATAACAAGTGGCGCGACGATCGAGGAGCGACAAGCCATCCTCTCCTGCCTTTTACGAGTGGCCCAAACTTGTTGGAATACTGGAAATTTTAATTCAGCTATGGAAATCGTTGCTGGTCTCAAGTAAGTAGTTTCTTTAAAGAAAATTTACATGAATATTTTTTTTTTTTAAACAAGAGAGTTTATATTAATATTTATTTATATATTTAAATATGGGTGAAAATTTCTTAACTTGGCCACCTAAAACTGACTTTTCAAATTTAAAATATATTTTTTCATAACTAAATTTGCAATTACTCTATTGCTTGTTAATGAAATTTAATAAAATTTAGTGAGTATATAGAGAAATAATGTCTCTTTGAAATGCAATAGAAATTTCAATTTATTGTTTATGCAAAAAAAAAAATTGTTTATTTAATAAGCAAATGAATATTTAAACTATTTCTCATATGTTTAGGAAAAAATTTCAAAAACGACATAAATCTACACTGCCCTACAACGGAAAAAGATACATAAGTGACATTTTGGTCAAAAATGAGTTTTTGGTATCAATGGATTCGTAATAAAAAGCTGCATCTGACTATCGTAATTAAAATTGAAAATTTTAATTATTTATAATAAAAAATTAAGATTGAAAATATTGCAATTCGCGAAAAATGAGAAAATACAACGGAAAAAGACACATGAGGTACTTTGCGTTGCCTAAATTCTGTAGGAGGCATGAAATACGTCACAAAATACAATGGAAGAATATACGCGAGGTAGCTTATGATCTTTTTCCGTTGCAAAAGCGGCCGAGCTCGGCTTCATTTACAGAACGATATTCGCAAGCGCGCTTGTGTATTTCTTAGCTTGTAAAATAATCGAGCGGAGCAAAGATGTCCAGTGGAGACTATACACAAGTGCCATACTCTAATCCCATACTCTCTTGTCCCTTATGTATATTCTTCGCTGGACATCTTTGATCCGCTCGATGACTTTACAACGAAAAACACCACAAGCGACTTTGTGTTCTTTTTACGTTGCATTTGCACTAAAAAAACTACGCAAGTGCATTTTTTAAAAGGGATTGTTTAAATAATTAATTTTTTTTGCAAAAATAGAAAGAGCACATCCGATTTACCCCATTAGGGATATTTTTATTCATAAAAAATGAATTCTAAATGAAGTTTTTGATACAAATGGTTTTTCTCAAATATCTCCGTTCGACCTATTTGTGGCTTATGTATCTTTTTCCGTTGTAGGGCAGTACACTTTCGCAACTTTAATTTAAAAAGAACTACTACGCGTCGATGCCTATTCTCTGTTATCGAATTATTGACTAGAATTCTTGAATATCAAATTTTTTCTTTTTTTTATTATTTAACAATTATATAACTTTTTATTACAACCGGGTTTTGAGAATTTTTTCAAAAAAAAACGAATATTCATTTAATTATTTTTCAAGTAACAGAATTAGTATCACTATAGAAAATTTTACATTCAAATGTAAAATTTATACTAATATAATTTCTACTAATACTAATTTGGCTAAATAAAAATTTGGTTTAGTGAAAATTTAATTAAATAAAAATTCGGTTAAATAAAAATTATGCTATTGAAAAATTTGGTTCTACGTTAAATTAATTTTCTAAAATTTAAACTTTGGACACATTGAGCGTCCCAATTAAAATCTTTTCGATGAAATAACAAATTCATAAAATTAAATTTCTTCTTATAAATATAAGAACAAATTTAATTTAATTTTAATTAATTTGAATAATTAATTTACAATAATTAATTTATAATTTAAAAAAAATGTTATTTCTTATAAATATAGGGACAAACTTAATTTTATGAATTTGTTATTTCATCGAAAACATTTTAATTGGGACGCTCAATGTGTACTAAGTTTGAATTTTAGAAAATTAATTTAACGTAGAACTAAATTTTTCAATAGCATAATTTTTATTTAACCGAATTTTTATTTAAAAGAATTTTTATTTAACCAAATTCTTATTTAATTAAATTTTCGCTAAACTAAATTTTTATTTATCCAAATTAGTATTAGTAGAAATTATATTAGTATAAATTAGTATTAGGTACTATTTATTTTAAATTTGAAAAGTCAGTTTTAGGTGGCCTAGTTGTGAAATTTTCACCCATATGGAAGTTATTTTATCAAATTCCATAAATTCTTTTTTTGCATACTATTATTTTCTTCAATTATAACACTGGATAACAAATTCGGATTAACTTTTGGACCCGGAAAAGTAGAAATGTTTTTTTAGCGTATTTTTTACGCTAAAATCGAATCTGTCGTTAGATTTTCTAAAATAAATTAAAAAAAAAAATAATAATAATAATAATTAAAATAAATTTTCTAAATAATTCGTTGGTACAGCTCGAATTATTTCTAGTTTTCCCATAATGAATTGGTAAACAGCTATATGGCAGTTCAGCCATATATAATGGTGTTCCATACATATAGATGTTTAAGTCAACAAAAAAGTGGGTAACATAACCTAACTTTATCGCTAGTTTAAAACAAAACCCCAGCCATATTTATTTGTCAGTTCCCCCCAAAGCATTTCTTTCAGTGTAACACGTCAAATTTCAAAATGGCGACATAAAGGATCTGCCATTTTGAATTTTTGAAATCTGGCTTCAAATTCGTAATCAGCAACCCCGAAAACCCCCGAGTAATAAGTTTCATGCAAATCCGTTTGATTTTTAATATTTTTCTTCCACCATATTGGATCCGCCATTTTGAATTTTTGAAATCTGACTTCAAATTCGTAATCAGCAACCCCGAAAACCCCCGAGTAATAAGTTTCATGCAAATCCGTTTGATTTTTAATATTTTCGTCCGCCATATTGGATCCGCCATTTTGAATTTTTGAAATCTGACTTCAAATTCGTAATCAGCAACCCCGAAAACCCCCGAGTAATAAGTTTCATGCAAATCCGTTTGATTTTTAATATTTTCGTCCGCCATATTGGATCCGCCATTTTGAATTTTTGAAATCTGACTTCAAATTCGTAATCAGGAACCCCAAAAATCCCCGAGTATATAATAAGTTTCAAGCTAATCCGTTTGATTTTTAATATTTTTCGTCCGCCATATTGTATTTGCCATTTTGAATTTTTTTAATTTGACTTCAAATTAAATTAAATTAAATTGTTTTGTATTGTTTTATATTTATTTATTATATTTTTATATTTATTATTATTATTATTATTATTATTACATTTATTTAGACTTGTTTAATTAATTTTTTATTCTTCTCTTCTTTATTTCAAAATTTATTTGACTACCTATATTTTGTTTCATAAATAAATCTTTTTTGAAACATTATAAAATATCAAAAATAACATTTTTCTGCAAACAAAAAAAAACGACAAATAAAAGCTGAAATAATAAAGAAGATATAGAAGCAAGAAAAGGAAGAAACTTAGAGAAAGAAAGATACGACCTCGGGGTTAAAAGTTACGACCTCGGGGTCAAAAGTTACGATCCTCAGATTACAAGTTGCCCGCGAGAATTTCTAAATATATTCAAAAGTCGTCCGTATTGTAGTGACTATTACGAAAACATAAGGGATAATTGGGATCGTGCCCTTACTTTTTAGACAATACGTGATTTGAGATTATTATTATTATTATTATTATTATGACAAATTCAACTTTTCAAGTTTCAAATATGTCGTGACTAAAGATAGTTTATCGCTTTGATTTAAAGCGTTTCAATTTTAAAACTTTATATATAAAAAAAGAAAATATTAATATATTAATATAACATCTAGAATAAATTTGTCGCTGAATTATTTTATAAAATTTTATTCATTAATATTTTCTCGAAAATTTTGCATTGATTATATCGACTAATTTTTCCATTGGAATTTATTTAACTTCCGGATATAAATTATTATTTTTAGAACATAAATCTTTTACGAGAATGTATTACGCGCTGAAATCATTTTTAGTAACAATTAAGAATTATAGGTTTCGTTTATGTGATGATTTTCTTTTTTTTTTTGTCGTTTATTGAATTTCTACAACGATAAATTAATACATCATTTCCTGTCAGATTGAATAACAATAATCACATTCCCCTATAATTCCGTTTTGAGAAATTATTTTTCTTTTCAAATCTCCCTAATGGTTGTGGAGCTTATGGTAAAAATTTGATTAATCTATATTATGTTAAATCTAAAAAAAAGAAGAAAATTGCTATAATATCTATATGTATGATTTATTTAAGCGTGAAAAAATTTATAGTGAAAAAAAAAATTAGAATTCTTTAACAATAGAAAGTAAATTAAAAAATACTTCCTCCTCCCTTTAATGTGAGATAAACTTTCTCTAATGTTAATGTGACGTTTTAATGTTATTAAATGCTAAGAGTAAAAGTTCCCTTATCTAAAGGGGCGGTGGGGGTTTCAGTATCTTGAATACTGTAGAGACTATCATCCCCAGTATTGCAGTATAGAACCGGGTTGGAGAAACGTAAGGGGGAAATTGAAGCGGCTCATAAAGGTTTACGGACGTCAGCCTCCCGGAAGGATAATGGAAGCCCACCGGAAGTCACTCAGACCAGTGTAGCCGTGTGTGCACTATAATGCGTGAGGGAGAAATCAGACGAATCGTCTATTTAGTTCTAGTGCACTACAGAGTAAACCCTACTAGAGTGAGAGAGAGGGAGAGAGATCAAAAGCCGCAGAGAGCCACTTTACATGAAATTTTTATTAAAGATCAGTTAAGTCCAGTGAGCATCCCTATTGCACTCATTTTTCATTTTATAGAAGCTACACCTGCGGAAAAATTTCACCAAGCGAGAGGAAAAACTTTTCTCTATATATAACATGATCTCCTTGATATCATATATAGATATATAGATCAAAATATTGTACGAGATGAAAAAGTGTGAGGAAATTTATGATTCATTTGTTTTTTAAGAACCGACATTTTTTATCTCTTGAGGTAAGGGAAAAAAGTAATTACCGCGTATAATATGAAGAGTAAATTGATTTTTTTTTTTCATTCAAATGGATATATTGAAAAAGAATTTAGTGCTGTAAGAAAAGGGTTCTTTTGGAATAAATCTAGATTGTTATAAACGCAAAAAATTACGACACAATAAA